TTGGCATACAGGTCCATAACCGTGGCCCCCAAATCTTCCCTTTCTTCCTCATCTTCCCACAGGTCCCCAGAGTGGCAGCAGATGACCCACCAAGAGCGGCAGTGCAGGATGGTGGTGAGTCCTGGTAGGGCCACGGCTGCCCTCGGTCCCATCAGCAGCTCGTCCACTCGGTGGCAGCAGCCCCATCAGGGCTCTCCTGCCCACCTCTCCAAAGCACGCTGTGCCCCGTGGCCCAAAGCTCTGGGGGAGCGTGCACAGGGAGGAAAGATGCCTCGGTGACCTGAGGAAGGGACTGAAGCCCCACCTTGGCAGAACGGCTTCCTCCTCCAGCCTGGCCCGCCGGCCTTCTGTCTCTCTGCGAGGGTGCACTCTGAGGGCTTCAACACCCATTTCACAGGCATTGTTATTTGCTGGCGGGTGAACACTGCGTGGTGGAGCTGCCGGCAAAGTTGGGTTGAGTCTTTGCAATTTGGGAAGCGGGACCCCTCCAATGGGCACGCCGGTGGGTGTTTAAATCACTGAAATATGTCCCCAGCGAGAGGAAGTACAATCGAAATAAGGAAAATTTGCAAACATTTGAAAATCCACGACTGAATTGTTTTTTTAATGACGTGATCTCTGAAAGCAACTGCTCAGCTCTTGGCTTTGCTGGGGGACACAATTCCTTCCAAAGGTTTGAGGTAGCGCTGTGGGGGGGGGGCTTTGGGTGACAAGGGACCCTCTTCCTCTCCTGCTTTTAGTTTCTCTCCGAGGCCCCGAGGGTGCAGGATTTGACCTCAGTCTCCCTGCAACAGAAGGACACGTGGCAATTGCAGGGATTCAGCACGGGAGGAGGGGGCTACAACTTCCCCGTGGGTTTTGAACTCTTCTGCCATCTTGAGTCCATGCTGAGGTTGGGGCGGGGGGCACTGGCAAGGCGGCTGCAGGGCCAGAGGTGGTGGGGATTCAGACTGGGAGACCACTGAGTCAGAGAAGCCCCCAGGGTGACTTTGGGTTGTCGCACTGGCACAGCCCATCCTATCCCAAGGGGTGGTTATGGGGAAAAGGCGGAGGGCTGCTCTTCACTCTCAACCGCTGCTGGAGAAGACGGGGGACATAAAGCAAGGGATTCATCATTGACCCCGGCCTCCCCCAACTCAAGCGCGGCCCTGGCAGAGCCTCCCCCACC